TCCTTCCTTCCTTCCTTCCTTCCTTCCTTCCTTCCTTCCTTCCTTCCTTCCTTCCTTGCTCTTTATTGGCAGAGTCAATCACAGAAACTTGAAAGCCTGTTCAGGTATCTCTCCCTAACCATGAAAAATTTTTGTAGCTTTGGGCCAGTTATTCAATTTTAGCTCAACAGGAGAGATTGAAGGACAAAACAGCAGCCACGCTACCTTGGATTTCTGGAAGGAATTGATCTAAAGTGGATGAATAACGAAAGCCCATTCCTTCTTTTGGCCATGCCCAGGCACGCAACTACACAACTGATGCTTCCCCTGTAACCCCCTTTCTGCCCAAAAGGTTTCCCGGATTCCCTGAAGGGCCTTCAGCTATGCCAGGGGGCAAACATGGAGCAACCTGATGGAGGTTTTGGCTTAGCTGCCGGCTGGTTGATCTGCACAAAAATTGCCTGTTTTCTGCTGGGCCTCAGGGAGGCTGCAATGACCAGCTGCCTGTTTGGTCTTCCCTGCAGAACTGGAGACATGTCCTGGCTAACGGGAAAAGGCTCCTAAGGGCCTGGGAGCATCTGGTTCCACTTCGGGGACCTCCGCAGCGGCCACCTTCCTCCAGGCTCGGCAAGCCCAGCACCTTCCCTGTGAATCTTCTCCTGGCTCTTTTCTCCTCCGTCTCAAGGACCTCCACCGAAGCTCATCGGAGATGGACTTGCACTTCGGCTGCCGTGGGACGGTTGTAAAAGCTGCCAGGGTGGAGCTGAAGGAAAGGGGCCTCTTGGAACCACTGGGCTGGGGAGCTGTCCATGGAGGGGGCAGGAGCTGCCCGGGCAGAGGGCGGGGAAATGCACACGGCTTGCACTTTTCGCAGGCTGGCACATGGCCCAAAGAGTCAGCTGCCAAGGGTGCTTTGGAACAGGGCATAGCTTCCTTGGGATGCTGCCTGGCCCCCATCTTTGACAGCCCTTCCCCTTTCTCCCGAGGCGAGCCCTTCCCTGCTTTTTCCTGCAGCACCCTGCGCCAAAATGCCTGTTTGTCTTCTTGCGCCAATGGGAAGGTCCCTTGGACAACTGGAAATGAGAATGCGGCCTGAGCAGCTTCCTTTCCTTGCTCCACTGTGTCTGGACCATCCTTGGTCTGCTGGGATCACGGGAACCTGCACATCATTCCCCGGTTCCATCTCCCATTTTTCTTGCCAAACCTGGTGGCGCACTTTAGATTCAGGACCAAGTTTGTTCTGCAGAAATGCTGAAGCAGCGCGGAATTCTGCTCTCTGACCAATGCGGTTTCGTACTAATACCTAGAGAAGGATTGTCTTAGCTTTTAATTGAAAGTACATTTATCTTTTTAATTAAATCCAGCTTAGTTTTTATTCTGCTCCTGCGCATTTGTTGGAGTGCGGCCTCTTTGTCACGGAAAGGCCAAGACCAGTCCTGGCCAGAAAATGTTCTCCTTCTTCCTTCCACTACCCTTGATTCATGAATCTACACTGGGTAAACCGAGTCACCCTGATCCTGTTCACACTAGTGAAACGGTCACAGTGCAGTTGAAGCTCTGCCTGGTTTTTATGTGTGATGGGCAGAGCTTTGATTGCACTGATGTGGCCACCAACTTTCCATTTTTCACACGCCTTTGAGACACCCCTCTGGCTCTCCATTCCAGGTGCACAAGTAGGAGGGTGGCTGGGCTGGCCCATTGTGGTCTCTCACGGCATCAGGCAGGCTTTCACAATCTCTCCACTTTTTAAAAACGTTCTTAATAAACTAAATATATACCACACATCTATGCATACACATTCGTCTCCAGGGCTTCTGTCTTGGTGGAAGTAGCGTAGCAGTTGCTGTGGTCTCAAAAGGGGCAGGAATTGGGAAGGGACAGAAAATTGGGTCCCTGCAGGCCAGCGATACTCACCACAGAGCTGAGCATTCACGCTGGACACAGGCAAAGAAGAGGAGGGTTTCCCAACTGACGTCTTCCACTCCTGTTGGACTACAACGTCCATTAAGCCCTGCATTCCTGGCTGAAACTGTGTTAGGTTGGGAAATGGGAGATGTAGTCCAAATGTTCCAGACTGAACTCGCTTGCTTCCTTCTGGCTGCATCCCAGCTTGATGATTCTATGGCAGGGTTCCTCAACCTTGGCAACCTTAAGACGGGTGGACTTCAACTCCCAGAATTCCCCAGCCAGCTTTGGGAGCTGGGGGTTGAAGTCCACCCATCTTAAGGTTGCCAAGGTTGAGGAACCCTGTTCTATGGGAAATGCGTTCGGTCCCCAATGGCCTGAAGAGTGGATTTAGTCTACAGGTGGCGGGGATGCTGTGGCACAAGGAGGATGTGCCCGCTCCTATGGCTGCAGCCTGTGTCCCCCTCCCCTCCCTCCAGGCACTGGGCACCAGCCTCCAGGGCCCGTTGGGTTGGCGCTGCTGGATTGGCAGAACTCTGGGAGAGGGGAAGCTGCAGCAAGACCCCCTGGCAGAGTGGGAAGCCTTGTTCTTAAAAAAAAAGTGTTTGCCTTTATTCATTTTACTAAACAGAACAGAAAAAGGGAAATATTAGAAAAAGGAGAAAAACTATAAAAATATTATACATATGAGGGCTTCTCATGCATGTATATAGTATATGAAGTTTTACACAACAATTTCACATGGTGACGGTGAGTCAATATAATGGTCTGCCGTAATCTGCACCTGCACATGAAAAAGAGGCAGAGTTCTTGCTTTTTGGAAACTTAATGCAAACATGGCCACCATCACGGCCACCGTCTCGACTGTGGACATCCCCGCACCTCATTCATAAGTTGCCAGTAACATCAGGTCTCCAAACCACTGAGTAATTTGGAACCGTAAATGTGTCTTTCCAATGTTGAAGGGCTCCAACCCTAATCTTAACTCTACTTATGGCTAAAAACTTTGTCCTTCAACACTGGAAAGGACAGTGTATTTTTAATAGGGCTTTCAAAAAAAACAAAACAAAACAGGAGAGGAGAGGAGTGGTAGAAACAAGGCTGCTATGAAGGTTGACAACACGCAGTGGAAATGCAGCAATTCATGCACCACATTAAAGGGGAGCAGGGAAAATTGGCTTCGCGGCCAGGGCAGACGAGAGCTTTGCTGTCGGGATGGAGCAAGTAATGTTGGCACGCTTGTTTGCAAGAACACAGTCTGCCGACAAGCACGTTAAGCCGGTTGCCTGGATGTGCCTTGATGTAATCCCAGCAACTCTGTTTTGTAAGTGAAGATTTATAGCTTTTTCAATAAACCACAGTTAAACTGCAGTTTAGCATGATGTGTTGGCCAACCTGCAGCACTGAACTAGCCCAGCTTCCTTGGACCCTGTGCCCTTTCTCTTGGCACAGCCAGATCCTCTGCGAGTTTACATTAAGTTTCTAAAAAGCAAGTTCCGCTGGTGAATGGGACATGCCCAGAGGAGAAATCTGATGGGAGCTTTCTCTGCACCCTTCTAAAGGGAGAGCGAGCAGGAAAGCCACTGGCACTTCTTTGCCTCCTGCTCGTCCTCAGCTGCAGGGCAGGGGGCAAATGTTTTGCGCTGAGGAGCCTCCAGGAAAATATCTGCTCCCCAAAAACCTGAGATCCCCATCAACAGCTAGAAGTGTGCAATATCAGATGCACAACAGGGAGATTCATCTTCATTATTTTAATACATGCAAATGAAATCAAACGCAATGCTATTTTT